ATAAAAATTCCAGAGTATATGTAGCTTTATTGCCTCTACAAAATGGCCAGAAAAAATAAGCATCGAGGGAGAGAGGTAAGTCCCCCCTTAAACCGAATTCTGTTTCGACTAACAGAATACAAACTTTGAATAGACATGCTAAAATTGTATATCTTCTAGAGGAAAGAACGTTGTTTTTGATAACACAGAATTCTACAAAATTTTAAGCAGAATTTAAACAGACCAGAACGGATCACGTCATCTTTGATAATACGGAATTCTACAGAATTCTAAGCAGAATTCAAACAGACGAGAACGGAATATGTTGTCTTGGGTGACACATAATTCTCAGAATTCTATGCGGAATTTAAACAGAACAGAAAGGAATACGTTTTCTTTGATGGCACAGAATTGTACAGAATTTTACAAAATTCTAGGTAGAATATAAACAGATCAGAGAAGAATAGTATAATCAACTCGTTTTAAAAAAATATAAGTCCACAGAATTCTGAATTCTGCTTGGTAGACATTCTGCGATTGCTGTTAGACAAAATGATCTCCTCGACGATTTGAACTAGGCAACCGACAGCATTTTTCGATATGGAAAGTTAGTGGTTGAATATTGTATTTTTGTTACAAAAATCTGAACACTTACGATGTGACATTCTACTTCGAACTGTTGTTTATCTTTCTGCAGAATTTCATGAAAATCTCTGACAATATTGAATCTATAAACCACATACCATAACCGGCTACCAAGTAGATCATGATGGATGTGCAAGAAATGGAGCTAGAGAATCACCGAAGGTAGGTAGTTAACATTTATTTATAGAAATTTTTTTCAGATGGTTTGATTTTAGAGTACCCTTCGGACGAGTATCTTGCTATCTACTCGGTCTCATGTGCCTTGCTGCAGCATGCGTCGTGACAATACTCATCGCCGTGCCTATCTCTTTGGCTAGTAAAAGCGCTACTATTACTACTACCGCCACCACTGGAACTACAACAACAACGCCCACCGCCAAAACCACTACCGCGACTACCGGAACAACGCCCACGACAACCACCACCACTACTACAATCGCCAATGCCACAACAAGCACTACGACAACCACGGCAACCACCACAATCACTACCACGACTACTACGACAAACGCCACGATCACTAGCACCACTACTACGACAACCGCCGCAATCACTAGCACGACTACTACAACAACCGCCACAATCAGCACCACTACTACTACGACAACCGACACAATCACTACCACCACTACTACAACAACCGCCACCATCACTACCACGACCACTACAACAACCGCCACACTCACTACCACTACTACTACGACAACCGCCACGATCACTAGCACGACTACGACAACAACCGCCACAATCACTACTACAACTACTACGACAACCGCAACGATCACTAGCACCACTACTACAACAACCGCCACGATCACTAGCACGACTACTACAACAACCGCCACCATCACTACCACGACCACTACAACAACCGGCACAATCACTACCACTACTACTACGACAACCGACACAATCACTACCACCACTACTAC